AAGGGCTTCAGAGGGGAGAAGGCAAAGGAGAGAGAGAGATGCCTTCAGGTGAGGTGGGGCTGAGCTGGGGGGTATGAGGGGGGACAGAGAGGAGGAAGCAGGGGCTGCCAGGGGGCCCCTGGGAGGACAGCACTCAGGCCTGTGCCCAGGAGGAGGGTGGCTGTGGAGGCTGGATTCTCCAGCAATAAAACCTGCGGATGAGGTGCGCGATGTTTATTAGGGAGCAACCCTGTGCAGGGGGGAGCAGGAAGTAAGACTGGACAGAGGTAGAAGTCGGGCCACCGGGCCAGGCCCTCAGAGCCCGCCTGCTGGGTCGCTGGATGCTGGGCCGCCCTGGAGGCTGTGGCCTCGGGCTGGGTGGCTCTCTGCAGCCCTGGCTGTCTGCTGCCTGTGCTTCCTGCTCCATGCTTCCCCGGGGGAGGTGGGGGTGCCTTTGCAGGGCCCCCATGGCCACAGCCAGCAGGATGTGTCCTGAAATCCAGCCTGGAACCAGGACCTTGAAAAGAAGGGAAATGTGTGTGGACATCTCTCTCCATAGATTGACTCTTCCTCCCCGAGCCTCTAGCTGGTGCCAGGCTACCGGCGTCAGCGGGTCAGAGGTCAAGGGGAGCAGACAGGGAGAAAGGACAGGGACCTGGCTTTGCTCCCAGGTCCCTGAGAAATGACCGGGGTCTCCCTCTTGGCTTGTCCCCTTGTCGATGGCACCGCGATTGGAGAGTTAATGGGCGACCACATCAGCAGGCCATGTTTCTGGCCTGATTGGTTTTGCCTGGCAGCAGTCTAAGGCAGTGACGGCGAAGCTATGACACGCGTGTCAGAGGTGACACGTGAACTCACTTTTTTGGTTGACTTTTCTTTGTTAAATGGCATTTAAATATATAAAATAAATATCAAAAATATAAGTCTTTGTTTTACTATGGTTGCAAATATCCAAAAATTTCTGTATGTGACACGGCACCAGAGTTAAGTTAGGGTTTTTCGAAATGCTGACATGCCGAGCTCAAAAGGTTCGCCATCACTGGTCTAAGGGCTTGACATCTATTGTCTGTTTCGTAGACGAGGAAACTGCCCCTTGGAGGCTGAGTAACGTGCCCAGGGACAGTGGGTAAGCGGGGGCCACGCCAAGTCCACCTCCCTGTTCCCCAGAAGCCAAATGGAACCCACGTCAAGTGCTCAGGGTCAGTGAGTGCGGCTTTGGCCGCCCTGGACCTGTTTTGCAGAGGCCACGGGCCTCTGTGAGATGCCAGCCCCGACCTGCAGAGGAAGTGCCAGGCTCAGCCGCGGATGCCATTGGCTGAGGACCGGGAGGCAGAAGCCGCCGGGACAGGCTGGTGCCTGTGGCCTGGGCTGCTCTCAGGCTGCCCTGCGATGCTCTGCCAAATGGCCCCTCACAGGGGCCTGGCAGGTGGCCGCCCAGAGTGGGTCTGGACCCTTGGAAGTTACCACGGGGGCGGCTCGTGTTCCCCTGGGAAAATTCTGGACAAACACAGGCTTCTAAACAAGCAGCGCTCACCTCGCTGGGGCCTTTTGTGGGCTTTAAATGCATTCGATCTTTTCATTGTCTTGTAGGAGGGGCCACTTATTCAGGGAGCTCACATCCCCAGCGTCTGCCTGCGGTGCGGATGTAACTCTGGACCCGGCTGGTGGGGCGGGGAGTGGGGATGGGGGGAGGGACTGAGTGCTGCGTCACCAGACCCCAGGCACCACCCATTCATTCCATGCAAGCTTCCTGAGCACCTACTGCGTGCCAGACACCGTACGATGCCCTCTGGATGTAGCTGTGAGTGAGCCAGACGGGACCCCTGCCCCTCACGCCATTCTAAAGCTCACCGTGGAGTTATAGTCTCGCTGAGCGGGCCAGGGTTCGGTGCGGACGGACGCCTGCACCGCCGACATTGACAGAGCGTCAGGTCTGTAACCTGCGGCGACAGCCCAGGTGGCCCGTGGAGCCCAGGTCCCCACTCCTGCCTGCAGATGCTGCGCGGTGTCCGTCGCCACGGCGGCATTTGTCACCTCTCCTCACTGTCGGAGCTGGCAGGTTGTGTGGGATCTCCTGCTGGGAGTACTGGAGTCAGACAGCCCATTTGCATGTTCCTCTTTTTAACAAAACAAACTTCCTCACTGTCTCCATCCCCGGGATTCGGGCTCCCTGCCCGGCACCGAGGCTGCCCACCTTGAGGCTTTCAGATTGTCCCAAGGTTCGGGGAGCTCTTAACGGTGGCAAACCCGTGTGGGCCTTTCCATGGGACCAGCCAGGCCTCCTGCGGGGCTGGGCGTGGGTACAGACCCAGGAGTGCTCAGCCTCAAAGAATGAAGCTGGAGAGAGAGCACAGGAGAGAAAGCTGCACGTGAGACCTGGGGGCTGGTCCTTAGGCAGAGCCCGTGGCCCAGGCCGAGGGCCGAGAAGGGAGCGGGCAGCCCTCCCCCTCGTGCTGCTGCGGGGAAAGGGATCCCACCAGAGGAGGAGCGAGTGCCCTGAATGGGGACACGGCCCTGATGCCAGCTTCCTTTCCATCTGCCCTGCTTCTCCTTGGGGGAAGCAAAGACTTTCCCCCAACACACTCCCCTCAGGAGGTCCTGGAGGGTTCTCCTCTGTAGACCGAGGAGCAGACGGAAGCCCTGGGTAGGAGGAGAGGGGCCCCCAGGTGCCTCAAACAGTGCAGGTGATGGAGAAGGCGGCTCTGCTGTTAGCTGAGCACCCATAGCCCCACACCCCCACGCCTCCCTGCGGTGTCTACCTGCTGTCTCCCCACTGCCTGCTAACAGTTCAGGATGCGCCTACTCCTTTTCCAATAGGACGACTTTTAAAGTATTCAGAAATCTTGGCCTCCAGGCACCAACAGGGAAGGTGGGGAACTCCACCGCCCGATGTCTGGCCGTGCCCAGCAGGTGGAGGCACCTGGTCCAGGCTCTGCTTCACACTCAGAATGGAGGTGCACGCGGCCGGGAGCGTAAAGAAACCCCAGTGGGCGGAGCCCTCCCGGGAGCCGCAGTCGCTCAAGAGGACAGCCTGTTCACAGAACTTTCTGGCACATGGAAGCTAAGGCACCCAGAGGGTGTGAGCGCTCAGCTGGTCCTCATGGGACCAGGTAAGAAGCCGATTCAACAGGGCATCAGAGGGTTAACTCTGCCCTCGCTAACCCGGGGGATTTAAGGGAGCTTTACCTTCGCACGCCTTCCCCGTGCCATGGAGATAACCCCGCACACACCTGTGGGGTGGCAGGGACCCGGGGGATGACAGGGACAGGGGCCCGGTGGAAAACACTCGGCCTCGGACCACAGCGCTGGAGACAGTGCAGGTGGCCGTGCGGCCTGGGGGCTGGCAGGCCTGCGCTCCAGTGCCACGCGTGGCTCGGTGTGTCCCTTTGATAAATAGCTGTACTTTTATTCTTTAATTGGTAACCAGAACAACACCTCCGGGGCCCAGAGGAAGGCCCGAGTCCCCGCTCAGACGGGAGATGAAAGGGTTTCCAATGCGAGGGAAAGATTGTTACAGGGGGAAGAAAAAAGGCAGGAGCCAGTTGGGAGAATTCTCAGAAAGTGGGGACCAGGGAAACATTTGTTCTGGGAGACAGCAGACGGGGCCTCCCGGGCCTGGAGAGCAGAGAGAAACAGCTGCCTCCGTGGGGTCAGGGGAAGGGGAGGGGCCCAGGGAGCTGGAAGCGAGGGTTTCTCCAGCGGGAAGTCAGTATTCGTGATTATCCGGAGAGAGGGCTGGACACGGCCAGACACAGGTGACGTCCAGCCCTAGAGGGAGCAGGTGAAACAGCCCCTCTAACAAGTTTCCAGGTAACTCGGTGCTGTGGGTGTAAGGACCACTCAGGATCGAGGGGCAGTGGGAACAGGGCTACTAGGAGTCAAGGGTTCAAGTCCTCAGGGCGCTGCTTACTTGCTGGCTGTGTGGCCTTGAGCAAGTTACTCAGCCTCTCTGAGACAAAATCTCTTTGTCAGGTGGGGATGACAGCGTCCTAGGGTGGCCGAGGAGGTTGAGTGATGGATGTTATGCACGTTGAGCTCAGCATCTGGGACACATTAGCACTCAGTCCAGAAGGGGGTTTGAGTTTCACTAATAACAGTTGCATGGGGTCAGTGCTTATTAGGAAGATCGGGGTCAGAGGGGAGGAACTGGTCTCATGGCTCCTGCCGCAGAAGGTCACCCAGGTTCTGGGTGGTGTGACCACACGCAGGGAGCCTGCTCTCCTGTCCCTGTGGTGTTAGGAAGGACAGAGCCTGGCTATAGGCCCGAGGGGACTGCCCAGGCCACCTCTCTCCTCCCCGGCCTGCTGGCCCCGGGCCCGTCACAGGAAGATGCCAGGGGGAAGCCAGCAGGCAGGGGGAAGGGGGAGAATTGAGAACGGGTTTCCCAGGACTAAGACCTTAAGGTCTCAACCTTGGCTGCACATTAGAATCACCTGGGAATCTTTTTAAAATCCTGATTTCTGGGCCTCATCCTCCGGAAATTCTGTTTCTTTGCATGATCTTAAAGATGGCTGCCACACCCAGTTCCCTCATCAGCTGTATCATTTTTTGTTTGTTTATGTAAATAAAAGCACATGCTGGCACACTCCTCCCCCCACCCCTGCAGGTCCGTATTTTGCTTCTCACTTGGCCTCATGCTCTGAAGACCTTGACAGCAGCACGCAGCTCGCTCTCTCACTCAGAGCTGCCTGGTGTCCCAGCAGCCCGGGCGCCATAACCCAGGCCCTCCCACCCTCTGCCCTGTGGGCTCTATCCCGGGAGCCATGGTATATGTAGGTCGCTGTGCAGGTGGCCGGTGTGGCCGAGTTACCGAGCTGGGGCTGCGGGCCAGGTCCCTGTGTCTCCCCACCTGTGGGGACAAGACAGGTCCCTCCCTGATGCTGCCGCTTCCACACCCACCTCGGGTGCAGCCCCTGCTCCCAGCCCAGCCCAGTGCCTCCGGCCTGCGGACGGTGTGCCCATCTGTGGGGTGAGAAATGGAGTGATAGTTTCAGTTGCATTCCTGTTGTTGGGAACGACGAAGAGCCACTGGACTGTGTGTTCTTGGAAGAACGATCCGGACCTCTCGTCCAACATCCACTCGAACACCCAGCACCGGCTTTGGGAGGCGCCTGGTGAGACCGCACCGCGCACCGCCCTCCCCGCCCCTCCGCCCGGGTGGCTGCCTCTGGAGGAGGGGGCGCACAGCACGGGGAGACCCGCTGAGGCCGGCTTCTCTGCTCCCGTTTGGTGGCTGAGCGGTGGCCCAGGGGGCTTGGCCGATGCCAGCGGGAGCCAGTCAGGCTCAGCCAGGGCGATCCTAGGGGCGCCTTCTCAGCACTCGGGCCCCTCCCCTCCCAGGCCGACGTCCCTCTCCTCTGAGCGGGGTCCCGTGGGCGGCCTGCCAGGCCGTGAAGACCCTGGAGCCTTCCTGTGGCCCCAACCTCAGCCCCTGTGCTCACCACCACCTTTGTGGCAGCCACAGGCCCCTGGTCTCCTCGGGGTGACCTCGCCCAGGGCGCAGGCTGCCTCCCCTGGCAGAAGCCGGTGGCTGGGGGTTGGAAATACACAGACATTTTTAATGGAAGCAAAATGGGGCAACGGCGTCACGGCCATCAGGAACTGAGCTCAGGTAAGGCAGGGCGGGTGCCGTGCCCGTGTCATGGCAGCCACAGCAGCCTGGTGGCGGGGGGGGGGGGGGGGGGGGGGGCGGCCTGGCCATGGGGGGCCTGCGAGGAGCCCAGGCTGCCAGCTTCACTGCTGGGCAGGAGCGGAGGCAGGACCTGGGGAGCATGGCGACCGGCTTGGCGGGCGAACGTGGGGTGAGGCTTATGGGGTGGGGCCACAACATTAGTAACAAAAAAACAGAATTTCCGGAGGATGAGGCCCAGAGATCAGGATTTTAAAAAGATTCCTGGTGAGTCTAATGTGCAGCCAAGGTTGAGAACCACTGAACTAAGATCAGGCCTGCATGGGGGAGGGGAAGTGATCCCAGGTGTTCACTGACTCCCTGCCGACCTGCTATTTAAATGGCACAGTTGCTGAACCGCCTGACAGGTGAGTGGCGTTGGTGCGGTGAGTGCGTGAGACTCCGCCAGGGCCCACTTAAAGCCATAGCGGCTGGAATGTTGTGCACGCGTGCATGTGCATGTGCACGTGTGTGCGTGTGCACGTTGTGGTGGGAGGACCTGGGGAGACAGTCCAGGTGCTAATCTGAGGGCTGAGTGACCTGGAAAAGCCAGAGGAGTCCACCTGGAGGCAGGGCAGCCGGCCGGCACCTGGCGCTGGGCGGAGCCGGTTTCCCAGGCTCTGCTGATAACGTGGATGGGGTCCCCTTGTGGGGCCGGCTGTTCTGCGCATTGTAAGCTGTGCAGCAGCACCCTGGCCTCCACCCACTGGGTGCCAGGAGCTCCCTCCCCGAGTCGTGAAATGTCTCTAGTCGCTGCCACATGTCCTCTGGGGATAGCCAACCCCCGCCCCCTCGCACACCCTCCCCTCCCCCGTGCAGAAACCATTGCTGAAATCTTGATACATCCTCTCCTTATCCCCAGATACAGCTGGAGGAAGCTGGGGCCAAGGGTCTGTGAACTTGGCAGTGGGCAAGGGGATGATAAACAGATAGATGAGCTCAATTTCCTGTCTGCACGCGACCAGGAGTGTGTGGCTGACAGCATCTCAGAGCCTTCTGTATGGAGCCTTGGTGCTCAGTCCCCTCTGGCTCCGGTGGGAGGGGCAGCCAGCTCCGTGCGAGAGTGCAGGAAGCTGGGGAGTGAGGGAGGGAGCCTGGGGTCCGGCCCAGCAGGCAGCAGCCTCACCCACGCCCACCACCCACATCCCTGGGGCCCAAGGTTCCTGGAGAAACATCTCCGGCCTGGGCAGGGCTGGCGCTGGGAGCTCTTGCTGGAGAAGCCGCGGGCTGCGGGGGCCGAGTAGGGAAGAGAATGTTATCACAGAGACCTGATTTTTCCACACACTCTATCAGCTCCCCATCTGTTCCTTGATTAAATGAGTTACTGCGCCGCCTCCCCACGCGCCGGCTGCCGGGACGTCTCCGGAGCCCTGATTACATCTGTGGAGAGCGCCTCGCACCTCACAGATGGGCAGGCCTGTCCATCAGCCTGACGCCTGTTTCATCATCTGGGCCGGGGTGCAGAGCTGGGTCTGCAGGGGGCCTCTCACCCCCAAGGGTAGGCCGGCCATCCTCTTCCGAACTTCGACATGGCAGGGCCAGTGGCTTAGGGTGGCGTCAAATATGGATTCCAGCTGCGTGGCCTCGGGCGCCACCGCCCCTTTTGGCCTCATTTTCCATCTCCTCATCAAGGGCCTGTGGAAGCAGGTGATTTTAGAGGAGTGGTTCTCAACCTTGGCTGCACATCCTCCGGGAATTCTGTTTCTCTGTTACTAATGTTGCGGCGCCACCCCATAGCAAAGAAACAGAATTTCCAGAGGATGAGGCCCAGAAATCAGGATTTTAAAAAGATTCCCAGGTGATTCTAATGTGCAGCCAGGCTGAGAACCGCTGTGTTAGAGTCTCTCCCCGAGTCCACAGTCCACGGCTTTGCCACGGTAAGCCTGGTGCACAAGCCAGCCACCGCATTCCCGGGAGCGTGTTGGGAATGCAGGCTCTCAGGCCAGCCCCTGCCACTGGGCCAGAGCCGCCTGTGAACAGGACCCCCTGGCCGCACGGGCGGGGCTCCATCGTTTGGTTACTATGGAGATGAACATGTATAAGAAATCTGTCAAAGGGAATGAGTCACCACGACGTTCTCCAGCCTCAGGACACTTCATAGAGATTTTTTTTTTCTTGCACGAGAACCTTCACCTTGAAAAGAAACCAGCTCTGAACCCCCAGCCAGGCCCTGTGGATGGAGCCAATACAAGTGGCAGTATTCACGCCCTCACCCTCAATAAAGGCCTGGGGATAAAAGACAGGCAGCCTCCCCTCCAGCAGGTTCCGGCCTGCCCTCTGGCCTGAAGCAATAGAGAGAGAGAGAGAGAGAGAGAGAGAGAGAGAGAGAGAGAGAGAGAGACGGCCTGTGTGGTTATCACCAAGCACCTTCCTCTCTCCTCCTGGGGGCCGTCCCGCATTCCCGGGCAGCACCAGTCCCTCTGCCTCTCCGAGTCTGTTTTCCAGGGCTGCTGGAATCAGTTCCCAGAAACTCGGTGGCTAAAAATGACAAAAGTGGATTGTCTCCTGCTCTGGGAGCCCCGGCCTTCAGTCTGGTGCTGGCGGGGCCAGGCTCCCTGAGGGCTCCCTGCCTCTCCCCACGTCTGCAGGCCACGGCCTTGCCCGGCTGTGGTCGCATCGCTGCCCTGTCTGCCTCCTCCATTTCTCTGAGGTGTCCAAGCTCCTCCCTCTGTCTTCTTAGGACACGTATGATGGCATTTAGGACCCACCCGGATAATCCAGGATCATCTCCTCTCAAAATCCTGAGTTTAATTGCACCTGCAAAGATTCTTCTCCCAGTAAGGTCATGTTTGCAGGTCTGCCTTAGACACGGCTATCTTTTGGGGACCACTTTTCGGCCCATCACGTGCTCCAACCAAGATGTGGCCTCCTGGTGGGATCCTGGGTGAGTCACCCAATACGGCTGAGCCTCAGTTTCCTCCCCTGTAAACTGGCACGGTGATCCCCCCAGGGCGGCTGTGTGCCTGAGTGCGTCTGCGTGATCCGGGAAGCAGGTCTCGTTCAGCCCAGGGGCTGGGCCCGCCCCGGGAGTCTGCCATTCAGTAGGTCTGGGGAGGGCATTAAGAGTTTTCATTTCTAGCAAGTTCCAAGGGAATGCTGAGAACCACTGGATTAGATAGAGTGATGCATCTGAGGTGGCTAAAAAAGTCCTCCCCGAAATAAGTACCGCACAGATCAATGTTGGTGCACAACCAACAGAAAACAACACCCAGACGCCCACCCTGGCTGCTAGGCCAATGGGAAGGCAGTGCAGCCGAGGGGCGGGGCTTCCGGTAGAGATGAGTCCCCGAGGGCAGGGCTGTCTGTGCATCTCCGTCCACAGCGGAGTGGACTCCCACATGGTCATGGGCAGGAGCCAGGCATGGTGCTGGGCTGGGCCTCGCCTCTGCCAGCCCTTGCTGATCAAGGGGTTTCCCATGTAGAGCTTACATGTATGTTAACAGGGACCAGATGTCAGTGGATCAAATGTACAGGACGGTGTAGAAACCAGACGGAGCAGGGAATGATGCTCCCCCTCTGACGGAGGCCCCCAGGGAAGAGGTGTCGCATATAGAAATGTTTTTATATTTGCAACCATAGTAAAACGAAGACTTACATTTTTGATATTTATTTTATATACTTAAATGCCATTTAACAAAGAAAAATCAACCAAAAAAAATGAGCTCGCGTGTCACCTCTGACACACATGTCATAGGTTCGCCATCACTGATTTAGGCAGCTGGTGAGACAATTCCGGCAACAGATGACAAGGGTCTGGGCCCAAGCACACGCCAGGTGCGCGTCTCACTTGATGGATGGAGGTGAGAGTGAGCGAAAGAGTGTGAGCCAGCTTCTCCCGGAAGAGGTGGCCCCGTGGCCAGTGCCGGCGGCACCCCGGTGCCCTTGGGCAATTTACACGGGCAGCATTGGCTCGGGCTTCCCCGGGCGGGCGGGGCGTCGGGACTCCCGGCTCACCTCTGTCCCCTCTCCGCTCCCGGGAAAAGGCGCATCCTCCATGATTACGCAGCACATGTTCTGCCGAGCATCCCCCAGATGTTAAGCTGGTTAATTTCTGTGGGGATTTTTCTCTAAGCCAGCGTGACACAGGCTTTAAATCAATTTGAAAGCCCTTGTCTACAGTCCACACGGAGAGGATTCTCAGAGAACGGGCACCGGTTATTCTCATCAGTCGGTGGGGACAGGACAGGCCGGGACGGGTCTGGGCTGCGGTGGGAGCGGGAATGAGAGGCCTGAGGCCGCCCGGGACGGCTCGGTCCTCTAAGCACAGGGACACTGCTCACGGCTGCAGGAAGGGGCCCCAACGTGGGGTTGAAGGAGAAGCAGAAAGTCGTTTAAAAGGGCTGGGGATGCTGAGGCCCCCGCACGTTCAGGACTTTGGCCGTGGCCCTCAAGGTCACTGTCCTTAGGCTTTCCTCCGCTAAATACTCCAAGTTGATGAAATAGGAAAGGAAGGGGCAGAGTCCGGGTGTGGTTGGTGATGTGTAGGGGAAGGTCAAAGGGACTCATGAGCAGCCAGGGGCAGCCCGCTTTGGAGCTCAAGATCATGGGGAGCATTTATGAACGAAATGAATCTTGCCCCCAATCCACGGAGACAAGCCAAATTCACTGGCTCCATCTTCACGTCCCAGCGGCTCTCTTCTCCTTCAGAATGTGCTCTGGAATAGAGCCCCTCCGTGCCATCCTCACACCCAGCGAGGTTTCCAACTTGTCTGCCCTAAAGTGAAGGATCAGGAAGTTGTGAATTTGGCGTTGACCTTGCCCAGGCCAGCAGGTGAACGGGGAGGAGGTAAGGGGAAAAGCTTTAAGGACGGGCAGTGGACTTGGTGTGTCTGGGGTAGACCCCCACTGAGGGGAGAGTTGCAAGATACGGCTTTGCTCCATTCACTCTTCAATCCAAAGGGGGGGGACCCTCTTCTCCTTCCCCCTGATAGCCAAGGCCAATC